TTCATTTCTTTTTATGAATGAGTAATATTCCATTGTATATATGTGCCACATCTTCTTTATCCATTTGTCTGTCGATGGACATTTAGGTTGCTTCCATGTCCTGGCTATTGTAAATAGAGCTGCAATGAACATTGTGGTACATGACTCTTTTTGAATTATGGTTTTCTCGGGGTATATGCCTAGTAGTGGTATTGCTGGGTCATATGGTAGTTCTATTTTTAGTTTTTTGAGGAACTTCCAGTTCCCCATAGTGTCTGTATCAATTTACATTCCCACCAACAGAGGGCTCCCTTTTCTCCACGCCCTCTCCAGCCAGCATTTGTAGTTTATAGATTTTCTGATGATGCCCATTCTAACCGGTGTGAGGTGATACCTCATTGTAGTTTTGATTTGCATTTCTCTAATGATTAGTGATGTTGAGCAGCTTTTCATGAGCTTCTTGGCCATATGTATGTCTTCTTTGGAGAGATGTCTATTTAGGTCTTCTGCCCGTTTTTTGATTGGGTTGTTTTTTTAATATTGAGCTGCGTGAGCTGTTTACATATTTTGGAGATTTTTGTCCACTGATTCATTTGCAAATATTTTCTCCCATTCTGAGGGTTGTCTTTTCATCTTGTTTATAGTTTCCTGTGCAAAAGCTTTTAAGTTTCATTAGGTCCCATTTGTTTATTTTTGTTTTTATTTCCATTACTCTGGGAGGTGGGTCAAAAAAGATCTTGCTGTGATTTATGTCAAAGGGTGTTCTTCCCATGTTCTCCTCTAAGAGTTTTATAGTGTCCGGTCTTACATTTAGGTCTTTAATCCATTTTGAGTTTATTTTTGTGTGTGGTGTTAGGGCGTGTTCTACTTTCATTCTTTTACATGTAGCTGTCCACTTTTCTCAGCACCACTTATTGACGAGGCTGTCTTTTCTCCATTGTATATCCTTGCCTCCTTTGTCATAGATTAGTTGACTGTAGTACATACTTTAAAAGGATGGGCTTTATGATACATGAATTATATCTCAATGAAGCTTTTATTTAAAAAAAATAAAATAAGGAAGACTGGCCACTTTGCTGCAGGAACAGTGAGCTGGAGAGAGGCCTGGAAACAGGGAGCTCAATTTAATAGGTCCGGAAGACCCAGTAAGGGTATGATGATGATGATGATGATCACAGCTATTATTTCCTGTTGAGAGAGCTGGATGAATACATTTTATTTTTATATCATATATTTAGATACCTATTATCTCATTTACTCAGGAATATAGATTATTCCCATTTACAGATGAGGAAGCTGAGGTTCAGAAAGGTTAAGTGACATGATAATGCAGCTGGTAAGGGCAGTGTCACAGGCTGGATCCCACACTCATTCGTATATGTTATCAGGCATGAGAAAGGAGGGAATGATTTGAGAGACAAAAATGTCAGCATCAGCATCAGCAAGCAGCTATGGGAGTGGGGCAGGGAAGGGGGAGGAGCGAAGAGCCCACCACAGCTGGAGACTGGTTGTGCTGATGATGGTGGACAGTAGTGACATCTAGAACCTGGACAGGGAATATAAAAGGAGGCAAAAGTTTTTTAAAAGATGAGTGCTTTACGTTTCTGTCGCCCTTATTACATTTCAAGCACCTGAGAACCGGGGACATTCAATTTGGAAGCCCCTCGTTCCCTGTCAAGAGGAGGAATTCGGTGAATGTTGACTTGCTGAGTAATTAGGGGCAAGTCTGTTGGCCTTTCTGTGCCAAGTTTCCCAGATTAGGAGGAATTGTTCGCGGTGAATGTTGAATTTCTGTCTATCTCTCAGCTTTGGGGAGTCTGTGATTTTATCTATCTCTAGCTTCTAGCCCTGGGTAGGAGCTAGATACGCGTCAAAATGTGAAAAGAAAGCTTAGGAAGCTGCGCAGTGTTTGCCTCAGACCTGTCCTCAGTGCCCCCTAGTGGCCATATCTGGGAACAACAAGCAGAATCATGGAACTGACCTTCAGGCTGAGACAGCAGCCCCACTCCCACCGTCCAAAGGCAGAGGGTCTTCTGGAAAAGGAGTTTCCAGTTCCCTCTCCCAAGGCAATGTTCACAGCATTTACCTAGAGTTCACCACACACAGCTTAGAGAGAGGCATGCCTCTGCTCTGCACAGCTGGCTGCTAGACACGCTTGCTATTTGCAGGGGATCGGTTATAGAGCCCCCCACCCCTACTCCACTCCCCTCCCTCCAGTGGATAACAAAATGAGAGGATGCTCAAGTCCCTCATATAAAATAGAGTAGTACAGTTGGCGCTATGCATCTGCAGATGCAAAACCCATGGATAAAGAGGGCCGAACTTACGTTGCCCTGGGTGGCCCCTCCAAGATTTGGGGCCTGGTTATTGTTCCTGTTCCTAGGCAGAGATGGTGGAGTTCCCTGATGCACAGTAGGCATCCAGTCTTCACAAAATTAATGCTGAGAATAATGGCCTATGTTTGTGGGTTGGCCTAGTTTAGCCTGGAGCCAGATGATGAGGGTCATGGCTAGCCTCAGGCTGGGGCTGGTATGGGGCTGAGATGCATCAGAAAACGGGCCTTTCCTCCATCCTAAAGGAAATGTCTGTCCTCTAACCTGGGCTCTGTGGCCTGAGGCCTAAGACCTGCTTGGAGCTACAGAATCTAGCCTCTGTTGGCCTCCAGGGCACCTCTTCTCTGCCCTGCCCTCCTCCCCACCGAAAAACTCTGGAGAAGCCAGCTCCCTGCCCTTCCATGGGAAGCCCCACTGCAGACCTCTCCACCACCACCTCTCAGTGGTTCAAATCAGCAGCCTCCCCAATTTGCACTTGCTGCTCTACCCTTCAGCTCCTTCCTGGCAAATTTCCAGTCACCCATTGAGTCCCAGCTCAGGCTGGGGCCCCAGATCAATGAGGCACCCCAGGTTGGATTAGGGGCCTCTCCGTCACAGCTCTGACCACCCTGCATATCCTCAGCTGTTTCCAATGTTTGTTTCTGCTCCCACGCAGCCAGCTCACAGCTTCTGGCACAGAGGAATGGTCCCTGAAGTGAATGGTAAAGACAGGCATTAGGTAGTGGCAAGTGGGAAAGTCACTTTAGTCTCAGGTGGGAAGGGTTCCCCCAGGTACTTGGTACTCATTGAACTGAATGGAATTAGAACAGAGAGAGGTGGCAGGTTGTGAGATCCAGGTGTGGTATGAAATCACTAGAGTGACAGCAGGCCAGGCCTCCCTCTTTGTGGTATAACTCAGGCCAGGGGCAAGGAACATGGTTGAGTGATGCATACGGACCTTTCTAGCTCGCCTATTCTAGGACCTTACAGCAGGACAGTAGCCTTTACCACAGGTGGAAGGCAGCTGTGAAGGGGCGCCAGTGAGCCCTGCCTCCTGGTATTCACTCCGTGTGTAATCCTCAAGAGTGTGAGCTGGACCTAGTGACTTGCATCTAATGAAGAGAATATGGCAAAAGGGATAGGTTGTCACTTCCAAGATTAGGTTATAGAAGGCTGTGGCTTCTGTTTGCACTCTCTCTGGTTCTTCTTGCTTACTCTCTCTGATGCAGCCAGCTGCCACGCTGAGAGCTACTCTACAGAAAGGCCCGTGTGGCAAGGAACTGGGAGTGGCCTCTGGTCAAAGCCAGTGAGGAGGTGAATCCTGCCAACAGCCAAAAGAATGACCTTGGAAGTGGATCCTCCCCTGTCAAGCCTTGGGATGATCACAGCCCGGCTGATACCTTGATTGCAGCCTTGTGTGAGACCCTGAAGCAGAGGGCCCAGCTAAGCTGTACCTTGATTACTGACCCTCAGAAAGTGGACACTGTTGTTTGCAGCTACTAAGTTCTGTCTTTTTTTTTTTTTTTGGCTGCGCTGCAGTGGCATGTGGGATCTTAGTTCCCCAACCAGGGATGGGACCCGTGTCCCTTGCATTGGAAGTGCAGAGTCTTAACCACTGGACTGCCAGGGAAGTCCCAACAGCCACTAAGTTTTGAAGTAATTTATTACACAGCAATTAATAACTAATACACCACACAGGGCCATGTGGGCCAAAGAAGCAAGGGGGAGAGGGCTCAGCAGGCAGCCCGGTGGGGGCGGTGGTCTCCCCAAGTGTCAGCGGCAAGATGCAGATGCAGCCCCTGCAATAACTCATAGAGGACACTCATTTTCATTTATTCATTTAGGAATATACAAAAGTCTGACATGGTATAATGATCTCATCAAGAGAAAACAGAATACACAAAGGACTAGATTTCCTCCCTGGCCCCCCCTCAGAAAGGCACAAATATATGAGGCTTGGGTTCGGGGAACTTCTGTTCTGGACCAATCCGCTGCTCAGAAGGCCAGGTCCCTCTGTAAACAGGAAATGGGACCCCTCGCCCACATCCACTCCTGAGGGTGTAGGTTAAGCAAACCTAGGCCACTGAGAAGTATGTGATTTAGGCCAATGCAGGGTCTGTGCTGGGTCCATGTCTTCAGCTCCCTGAGGAAAACCAGCACTCCAACCAGAAGGTGGTGGGTCTTGATAATCCAAGAGATGATTAAACTGGACAGCTCCATTCCCCAGCCTGGGATCACCGCCACGTCCATCCTCTCTCTGGAGGCCAGTCCAGGCTCAGATTTCAGAGATTGGGGCCGTGGGGGGTGGCAGAAAGGAGACACGAGCTTGAATATTCCAGACGTTTGTCCCTGAGCTCTTCAAAATGGGGACCCCTGTTGCCTCTGAGTCTTCCCCTTGGCAGAAGCAGCTGGTCCCGCAGTCAAGCGTGGGGTAGCCGGCCGTAGGGATGTTTGCATTAGAGGAAGCTTCTGGCCCCTCATCCCCCAGGGACAAAGGGCAAATAATCTAACTGGCCTGAGTCACTAATGGCCACCCCAGTGAACCAGCACTGAGTTTTCTCTGTAATTTTGGGAAGGGGAGAAGAGAGGTTGGTTGAGAAACCAAAGGCCCAGATGGGTCACAGCCACCACCTAGAAGAGGACAAACTGGAAGTGAAAGAGCTTGAAATATTCACTTTTTCCTTCTTAGAAAAAGACCTAACGTTGTAATGGTTTAACAAAATTATTATAATTTCTTTTAAATAACCCACAGACACCCATGATGCTTCCACATTTACAGAACAAAAAGCACTAGAGAACTTGGTGGAAAACGATTTGCAGCTGGTTCCTCCCAGAAGCTGTCCCCCGCAGACAGGCTCAGTTCACTTCCAGGACCTCGGTCTCCGGGAGGCCGAACTTGGTCTTGTGCTGGTCGAAGAGTTTCACCAGGGCTTCCACGTACATGGCGTGGTACAGGTCGATGTCCTGCTGGGTCGGGTGCTCCAGCTTGGGGGTAGTGATGGGCTCACCCACTGCAGGGATGGGGCAGAGGCCTCTGGTTAGTCAGTGCCATTTGGCCCACGCTCCCTGGGCATCCACCATAATGCCGATGGTAGCGACCCTGCGCTACTTGCCAGCCGCCTGTCAGGAACTGTGCTGAGTGTGCTCCATTTCAGGCTGTCCCTTTTACAGGTGAGAAGACTGGGGCCCAGGGGTATGGGAAGGGACCTGCCCAAGGCCACACAGCCACTAAGCAGCAGATAGGATCAAGTCCAGCTGTACCCACAGTACTCAGCTGGGAGCTCCTGTGAGAGGTGTGGGATCAGGTAATGGCTTTGCTTTTGCCCTGCTCTGGGCACATCACTTCACCTCTCTGTGCCTTGGTTTCCTCACCTATCACATGGGGATCCTTCCTTATAGGGCTATGCCACAGCAATGAAAACCCAGAATCCTAACCACTAGGATACCAGGAAACTCCCCAGTTTTCCATTCTTAAGGTGAGGAGCAAACTCCTTCACGCCGTCCACTAGACCCCGTCCCTCTCCAGCCACCCTGTGCATGGAAATGTCCCTGCTGCCTCACAGACGTCAGACCTGGTATGGGATCTGTGTATAACAAGAGTCAAGGGTGAGTCTGGATCATGTGACCTAAAATGCAGGAAGTTGATCTCTCTGGAAAAAGTACAAAGCAAAACATCTGGCCCTGATAAGAACTCCAAGTATCTATGTGAGCTTTGGCCCCTGAAGTCCACGGCTTGCGGCCTCCACGCTCTTATGTGATCTCTAGATTGTGAACCATTAACAGATGCACACAGACACACATACTCCTACGATAGATAATTCTTTGGAATCCTCTAAATTGTCTCATATGAACGCAAAACAACACAGCTGGGGGCGAAGTGCAGCCAGTTTTTTTGCTACGCTTCTCACAGGCTTCTGCTCCAGGCATATTGATTTGCATCTGTTCCTCAAAAATCTATACAGTCTTGCTGCGGGAACCTCGTTTAGGCTATTGTTTCTGACAAAAAGTCTCTTCCTCCCCTCTTTTTCAGGATAATTCCTATTCAGCTAATAGTGTAAGAGTCACAGGGACTTCCTTGGTGGCGCAGTGGTTAAGAATCCGCCTGCCAGTGCAGGGGACTCGGGTTCGAGCCCTGGTCCAGGAAGATCCCACATGCCGCGGAGCAGCTAAGCCCGTGCGCCACTACTACTGAGCTCGTGCGCCACAACTACTGAAGCCCGTGTGCCTATAGCCCATGCTCCACAACAAGAGAAGCCACCATAATGAGAAGCCCGTGCACCACAACGAAGAGTAGCCCCCTCTCGCCGCAACTAGAGAAAGCCCGTGCGCAGCAACCAAGACCCAACACAACCAAAAGTAAAACAATAAAATTATAAAAAAAAAAAAAAGAGTCACCTCCTCCCTGGGGTCCATTATGACCCTCCAGAGCACCCTGCACGTCCTCCTCACACCCCCTATTGGTCTTTGCTGTAAGGGGGTCTTCCCTGATAGACTTGGGCTCTGAAAACACAGAATTGCCGAGTCCTGTTTTCTCATCTAGCACAGCTTAGCTCGTGGTAATGGAACTATCCCCTATCCCCTATCCCCCTCCCGCAGCGATCATTCCCATCAGCACCCAAACAGGTCCACGTCCTCATGGTTCAGAGCATGGACATCAGAGCCAGGGATGGATCTGAATCCTAACTCTGCCACTAAACTAGCTGTGGCACCCGAGTTCGGGGTCTGGAGGAAGGGGGGCTCACCCACGGTGGTGATGGGCTTGGAGTAGGGCACCAGCCCCCAGGTGTCGGAGGAGAAGAGGCCTCGGCCATGGAAGATGCACGGGGCGAAGCCAATGTACTTCTGGAACTTTTTCTGGACCCATCGGCCCCAGGAGCCCTCCTCAAAGATCACCTGCTTGTACACCTCATTCTCCCCGAAGGAGTAGGTGGGAACCAGGTCGGCTCTGGAAGGGAGAGGCCAGGGTCTGTCATAGCCCAATCACTGGCTTCAGTTCCTCCTGGCGGCCCTAGAGGCCCCAGACGCCAGCCAAACTCCCCTCCGTCAGGGGTGTACAAGAATCACCCGGGGGACCCCAAACCACATGTCCCCTCACTGCCAGATGGGGACAGGCCCTCTGCCCCTGTTAGTGACTGGGGAGCATGTCAGGGCTTTACAATGTGGCCCTGACCAGGTCACTACAGCCTCACGCGGTTTTCTCAAGTGGAAAATGGGGGTGGCATCCCTGCAGGATTTTGCAGGAGCATCAAATGGGACCGTAGAAGTGCGTGCGCTTTGTCCAGTGAAACGTGCTGAACAGGTGGCTATCCAGAATGTAGCCCTAGCAAAGGTCAGAGAAATCCAAGCTGCCTAGCTCCTCTCTGCCTGTCCCCAGGGTTACCCGTCCAAGAAGCCTTCCTTGATATTTCGGGCCACAACACCCTCCTTCCTGGCCTTTCGCTCTCCTACCTGCGTGACACGCTCTGGCCCTGGGGCACAGCGCTGCCTCTGGGCTTGGCTGGCCTCTCAGCCCACCTGCCAGGGCCCAGGAGACCCAGGCTGCATCTTTGCCCACTTGGCCGCCCAGCCTGAGCTTGGGCAACCCTGGCCTGAACCTCTGGGCTCCAACCTCCCCTTCCCCACAGGATAGCTAACCCCCTTCTCTGCCTTCCTGGGGTCTGGGTTCTGCCTTCAGGAGGCAAGGAGCTGCTGCCCTGGGCTGCGCAGAGCTGTTGACGGGTGTGTGCACGCGTGTGCACACACGTGTTCTGGGAGGCACTCACCCATGGTGCAGGGCCAGTCTCACAAAGCCTTTGCGATTGCGCAGGGTGACTGCGTTCTTGCCGGGCATGGAGCTCAGGGACTCGGCCGCGCCCCCCACCACGATGATGATGGCATTGCCGCTCCCATTCTTTGAAAGCAAGTAGTCTATGGTGTCCCGGTTCACAGGGCAGATGCCTGGGGAGTGGAGGGGGGACACACAGTCAGGGCTGCCCATGGATGCACTCCCTACCCCCTGCACATGGTCAAATATAGACAGAGCCGTGGACCTGGGTCCCAGACCTAACCCAGCCACTTGGAAGTATGGCCCCACGTAAGCCATTCTTTTTTCTGAGCCTCAGCTTACTTATCTGTAAAGTGGGGACAATGAAACAAGGTTGTTTAGGGAATGCATTCATTTGGCAAACGTTCCCTGAGGTCCTAACTGTGTCATGCTGGTGCCAGGTGCTAGGGAATCCCAGTAAGTCAGGCTGGTGGGGATCAAGGTGGGCAGATACGAGAGTCACAGACGATGATTAAGTCGTGCAAAGGGCAGCACAGGGGCTGGGGACGCCCAGAAAAGGGGTCAGAGAAGGCTTCCTAGGGAAGATGTTATCCTAGTTGAACCCTGAAGATTGTATGAACAGCTCTCCCACTCAGCCCTGACCCACTGTGCCTCAGCAGGCCACATCTCCAACACAGGACCAGGCACCAGGGCACGGTAGGTTGGCTTCCTGGCCAATGGAGTGGCTCAGGCAGGGGCACGCAGAGGTGGATTCTCACCTCCAGACATCAGGTACTCCCTCAGCACTGGCATCCGGAAGTTGCCGGCCAGCGTGGCCAGGTAGGGCCTTATGCCGGGGAACTTCTTGCTCACTTCTGTGGCCTCCGTGCTGAAGTTGCAGAAGGCACCCAGGCCCATGATGCCATGGGGGTGGTATCCAAGGATGTAGTTCCTGGTGGTCAGCAGGTTGTGTGTCTTCACCAGCTGCAGGGAAGACCTCAGGTCAGAGGAAGCTGGCCAAGAGAGGAGTACTGGGGCACACCCAGAGGTAGGGGAGGCACTAGGTGTGCCCTGGCCCCTGGAAGCCTGGGCCTGAAGGACTGGACTGACTCTCTCCTCCGACCTCAGACTCTCATCACTGGGTTCTCAGTGCCGGGTACTTGCAAGTCACCATTTGGACTTCGAGTCCCTGGGAAGGGGCTGGGAAACTTTCTCCCTCACTCCCCTTATTTCTCCAGCCGAACACAACAGGTCCTCTTAACTGCACTCTGCCAGCCTCCTGCATTCCCTCCCTCTGGGCCCATCCTCCTCACCACAGCCACAGTGACTGCTCTAAAACCCCAGCGCAACTCCTGTCACTCTCAGATAAAGAGGGATGTCCAGCTTCCATTGGCATAAAGTCCAAGTCCCTTTCTTTGGCCAGAGAAGGGACAGTGCAGCTGGCCTGAATGGAAACCTCCTTCCAGGCAGCCAGACTCAGCTCAGGCTCTGATAGGAAGCAGAAGGACAGGCCACAGCCCTTGTGCCAGCCACACTGGGGGCAGGGGAGGTCAGCTGTACAGCTGGAGTAGCTCACCTGCGGTGCTATCAACAAAGCTGTCCTGGATGCTCTAAAGGATGACTGGCTTCCTGCCCTGGGACTGGTGGCTTGGACGGTGGGTTGGATGGTGCGAAGTTTCCCTAAACCCTGAGCAGCAAGAGGCACCGACCCAGTATTATAGGAAACATGATGGGGTGGAGGGTGCTGAGAGGGATGGAGAGGATTGGCATCTTGCTCAGAAAAACATCACTTTCTTTTAGGATTAGAAAACGAATGAATAATCAGAGAATTTTAAAAATATGGGAAATTAGGGAGAAAATCCAAAGCACCTGTCATACCTCCAGCCAGATAAACCACTCTGACATGTTGAGCTTTTTTTCTACTCAAATAGACACATGTTCTTTTTTAAAAACCACAAAACTGAGGTCATATGGTTGCTATGATTTTTAAATAATTACCTCCCAAGCATATCATGGCTATTTTTCCTTATCAAAATCCCTCAGTAACATGTCTTCTCACGGCTATGCTACATGGAATAGAATTGTAATCAAACCCTGACTGATGGGCCTTTAAAAAGCTTCTAAAATTTCCCTCAGAAATACTGCTTCCATAAATACCTTATTTTTGTCCTCATGTCTGCTTGCATTCTTGAGACAAACATCAAGAAAGACGGTTCCCAGGTCAAAGGGTATGAGCGTTTTGGTCCAGTGGGCTGCCCTGCCTCAGGAGAAGTGGCACTGATGACATTCCCACCTGCAGGGCTTCCAGGTTCCCCCTGCCCCGCGCTGGTGCCAGCTGGAGCAGAGCCCCTGGCCACCGGCAGAACGTCAAGAGCCTGGGTTTTCTATGACTCCAGATTTGGGAACTCCCTGACTGAGGGAAGAACCTCGCACTCAGTTTGGGGGGCGTGGGGTGCTGGTGGCTGGCCTCCGGGAAACTGAAATTTGAATCTTCAGGTGATGGAGGCCAGAAGGGGATGGGAGTGAGGGTGGCCGGCACCCCTCCCAGCTCTGTAACTGCCCATACGTGTGACTGTGAGAAAGACCCCCTGTGCCGTACCCTGTTGCTTGGGGCATTTGTACTCTTTCTCCCGTTTTGCCTTTGGCGAGCAGATTAAAGCTGCTCAAAACCCCAAGTAATCCTCAGTTGCCGACCACATAAATGGGGAACAGCAGCGGCTGAATCCACAGCCAGCGAGGTGGGGGAAGCCCAGCTTTACACGCGCTTCGAGAGGTGGTTGTTCTGAGGTTTTGCCACAGAGAGCACGTCTGCCCTACCGCATTAGCTCTCGGGAAAGCCAGAAGGAAAAAGCACCCTGTCCCGGTTTCCATGGGCAAGGAAGGCACTGAGGTGAGAGCGGAGGCAGCCAGTACCATGTTGGAAACTTGCTCCTAAGCTGATGGCTGGGCCTGGGAGCCCCCAGCACAGAATGGGGTGGAAGACCCCTGATCTGGGCCGTTCCTTTGATTACAAGGTAGAGACTAAGACCTAGAGAAAGGAGTTGCTGCTTCCCCGGAGGTCACAGCAAATCATCCTCCACCTCTAGACTAGGCCACCCAGCTGTGCTTTTCCCTGGACCTGGGATACAGATGGGCCACCTGGCAGAACCCTAGCTAGCTCTTTAAATCATTTCCTCCCTCCCCCAAGCCTCTATCCGGTGGGACATTGGTTAAATGAGGTGCCGTGGGGCACAGTGCAGGTTAATGGCCCTTGGTGCAGCACCCAGAAAAGTACGGGCCTCTGTACACCTTTGATCTGTCTTCATGCCACACTCCCCTCGCCATGGGTGGACAGAGTGTCCATTCAGGAGGGAGGAGGAAGGACACTGCTGATGAAGGCTCTGTTGACATACCTGCTCTCGTGTCCCTTGACTGTTTACCCATGGCAAAGTCTCAGCCCAAGGGGTTGCCCAGGTCAGGCCTGCTGGCTGACATGAGCCTGGGACACATTCCTGGCAAGTCGCCCCTCCCACCCTGCCTCCCCAGGCAGGTAGGGTGCTCAGATAGCCTTGTCCCAGCCTGGCACCATACAGAGGAGGAAACTCAGAACCAGAGAGGAACGAAGACTCGCCTAAGCTGACACAGCGGGGCACCACGGCAGGGGAACAAAGGAATGAGAACACAGGTCCTGAAGCAGACACAGCCTTGGTTTCTATACCAGCCCTGCTACTGACTTTCTTTGTGACCTTGGGACAGTCCCTCCTCTCTGGGCCTCAGTAGGTCCATCTGTGAAATGAGGCAGATGGACAGATAGGTGACTGTAAGCTCAGAGAGTGTTTCCTAGTCTCTTCTCCAAAGATCCTGCCCATCTCTCGAGGAGAGGTGACCCGGGCACTGCCCACTCCTCTTCCAGGTAGCTGGTGGTCCTGGTGGCTGCTTGTTAACACGTGAGCCCCACCTCTGCTGGGAGAAGGGATGCTCTCTGGGCCAGCTGAGCTGCCCTGGTGGCAAAGAGCAAAGAGCTTCACCAATAAGGGAGTGGGGAGGGGTGGGTGGGCACAGTTAGAAATCATTACCCAACCATTGGCAAGAGGCTGGGAAAAGGGGGTGGGACAGGAGGGTCATACACGACTCCACAGAGCATCAGCCCTGACATCAGGTCACTAAGGCCAAACCCTCCATGCACAGAAGAGGAGCCTGAGGCCCCAAGGGGCAGGGGCTTGGCCAAGGTCAACCAGCAGGCAAGCGCAGAGCCCAGGTTGAGGCATAATGCCTCAGGCCCAGCTTGGCTTTGGTCCTGGTGCCTAGGGGCCCTCCCAGGGCCAGCTCACATGTGTCATGTGGCTCCAACTCCCAGCTGTCTTCTTGGAACAGAGGTGAGATAAGGGACACGGGGTTTTGTTTTGGTTCTTCGGGAAGGGCAGAGATCAGTGGGGAAGGGTACCTGTCTGTCCCAGCACTGACCAGCGGTCATCAGGTCATCCTGTTCTGGATGGGGGGAGCTATTGGCCTTGAAGAGGTTTCCTGAGGGGCAGGCCACTCTGGGGCTTGGCCCCCAAGGTAAGGGCCCTAGCAGAGAGAAAGAGTATATAATCCCTCACATCCAACCATAATTTACCACTTTTTATCATATGAGCAGCTCCATTTTACAGATGAGGGTAATGAGGCTCAGTGAGCTTGAGAAAGCATGCCCACGGTCCCATGGGCAGAAAGTGACAGCATCTAGATCCATTAGAGGGTGAGCCCAGCCAAGGGCAGGGGCCAGGGCTGACTCTTCTGTGTCCCTATGCCCTGCAGGGACCCAGCAGTACACGGGGAGCAACAGTGCTGGCCAGTGAATAGAGTGACAGGGCAGGACCTCAACCCAGGTCTCCAACAGCAAAGCAGAGGGAGGAAGATCCACGGAGTAGGGCTCAGTCCAGTGGGGAAGTCTGGGATTGGATCTTTCGCAGAGAAACAGGCAGTAGGGATCCAGAGGGAAAGAACCTGGGGCCTGGATCCTAGTACTAGCCTTGGCATGCAGTCACTGTGCAATTGGGACCAGTCCTTGCCCCTCTTTGGGACTCAGTTTCCTCACCTCCAAAATGAGAGGGTTGGGTCCTATGATGCAACATCCTCCCAGCAACAACAGCCTTGGATTCCTTGCAGCCAGAGAGATGGGGTCAGGGAAAGGGAGGAGCAGGAATCCTGGCCCCAAAGGTCCTGGGAAAACTGGGCTCAGGCTGGAATGGGCAGAGGGAGCTGGTCCTGTGAGTGCAGTGGAGAAATGTAGGGTTACCTGGCCACATCCCCCAGGCAGCACGCCAGGATGTCTCAGTTGCTGACTCACAACAGCAAACATACAACACCCTGCGTCATGCACACTTCCGCATGCACACGTGCTGCCTCCACTTTCAAACCCCACCGATTTCTGCTGGGTTACCTCAGCAGCTAGGGTGTGCCAGGGCTGAGGTGCTGAGTGAGCTGGCTAGGCAGGTCTTTCCCCTGCAGGGAAAACCTTCAGCATTCTGCCAGAGTTACCCACAATCCACCAGCGTCACCAACATGCACCAGGGCCCAGATGCCTCTGCCCTGCCAACCTAGCTTGCAGACCACCAGCAGGGGGTCTGATAGAATGTTAACTGAAAGCCAGACCAAGCCACTTTTTATCTTGTCAGGACCTTGAGTTTGGCCCCAGAGAAGGCAGGTGCTCAGAAGACCAGTGTGGGGGACCCAGAGCAGCCAGTGGTGCAGGAGGAAGGAAACCCAGAGATCAACTTGGTCTAAACCAGCTTCATATGGGGAGACTGCACCCTGGGTTCACCCAGGGTCTGACTGCCCTGCTTTTCCTCCCTCTGTCCTCCAAGCCTGAGGGAAGCCTGAGGATTCGTCCAAGCTTATTTCCTACAGCTCTGCTGCATAGGGACGCAGCATACTGCGGTGGGAAGAACCCAGACTTTGAGGCAAGACAGCAACTGGAATCTTGGCTCAACCCCCTATTAGGCTCATTCTGCTGTGCTACTCTCTGACCTTCAGTTTCCTCTTCTGTAAAAATGGGATAAAATTAATACCTGACTTACAGGGTACTGTGAGGGTTAAAGGACAGACCCCTTGGGGGAAAGTGCTGGCTCCTAGAAGCCTCCCAATAAATGGAGATCCTCCCTCTCCACTCCACCTACTCACCATCTGCCACATCCCAGGCTTCTTCTCAAACTCAGGTGCCCTCATTGTCTTCCCTGCCCCTTCAGTGCTGCTTAGCTTCAGGATGGAGTTCCAGCAGCAGTGCCTCCAGAAGCCTTCCCCAAGCACTTCTGCAATTAGGGTCTCACTCTCCATTCAGTGCCCACCAAATTTTCTGGGCCCTAATTCCCATGGCCAGGACCCCCAGTGACCTACACATGACTGACTGAGGGAAGTGATATTTCTGTAAGAGCTTCAGAAGGAAAGAAAGCTCCTCACACCTTTTGCTATCCTTGGTTCAGCCCAGATGAACTTGGACTACCTTAGTAGTATTGCTCCTGATAAATCACTTCCGTTCCCCTTCCCCTTTTTTTTTTTTTTTTTTTTTTTTTTTTGGTTGCGCCTTGTGGCTTGTGGGATCTTAGTTCCTGACCAGGGATTGAACCCGGGCCACAGCAATGAAAGTGCTGAGTCCTAACCACTGGACCACCAGGGAATTCCCAATCAATTCCATTTTAAGTTATGACTTTAATATTCACTGAAAGGCAGACAAGCAATGGCCATAATATCTGCTATTATACCTGCTCCTTACATCACCCAGGATCTCAGTATCTGAAACACCTTTTAGATCCAAATGCTAGAACAACTCTTGTTTCCCCAAGAAATAAACAAACTTCTTCCTTTCCCAAAATGAGGACCAATAACTATCATGTTTCCCTTTTTGCCTTGGCTGCCAGGAAGCTCAGAGGTGACCATGAAGCTCAACCACTGCAACTCTGTTGACCCTTATGGGTGAAATACTTGTATATTTTCCCCGAAGTCCTGATTTTTTTTTTACCTGGTATAGCATTATACGTATCCTAAATTGCCTCAAATCCTGCAAAAAGTGGGGTAGAGTATCCACAGATGCTCATAGTGGGAGATGTCACATGGTTCAACCCAGCACATGCGGTCACTGTGCATGGGTGGGTTAAGGCTCGAAGTCAGATTTCCCATCCATTCCCACCCTCCCAAGATAACACCCACAAGTCTTTACCTGGATGGGAAAGTAGTCTCGAAAGTAGCGCCACACAGCCCAGTTTCGGACCCACTGTGACCTCCTGCCACCTTCCAGGGAACAAAATACAGCGTTGGGAAGGAGTAGGAGTGGGAGAGAGTGATGTTCAGGCAGAGCCACTGTGAACCCCCGAGCTAGGTGACCAGCGCCCTATGCAGCATCCTCCTCCCTCCCCCGGGCCCCTTTCCAAGTTCATTCCCTCACATTTTGCAAACCCTGGATTGAGTGTGAGCTCTGTGAGGACCACTGTGTGACCTTAGAGCCACTATTAACCTCCCCCCTCCCCCCCCATCCAGAAGCACAGCCTGGCTTAGCCCAATGCTACTCACATAGTAGATGCTAAGTAAAAAAGGGGTAGCACCCGTGACGAGGACTTCAGCTTGTGCAGGAGGGAGTGTCCCGAGGGCGAGGGGGTGGGCAGGGCGACTTGCGCTCTTACCTTTCTTGGGAGTGTTCCAGTCAAACACCAGCCAGCAGAAGTAGAGCACAGCAATGAGCCAGCAATCGGTGCAGAACGTGTACATGAGAATGACGCTGCAGGTCACTCCTGCAGGGGGCAGAAGGCTCCCGGTCAGGCCTGTTCTCCCTGGGTGGGCTTCAGTCCCCTCTGGGCATGGGGTCACCAAGTGACTGAGTGTTTACCATGGCACTAAGCTAGGCACAGCTGGGGCCCTGGGCAGAGGGGGCCCACGGCTATGGCGGGGGGCAGGGTAGGGGGCAGGGGAGGAGCCGGCTCACGTGGACACGAGCCTCATCTCATAGGCTCCGATGGGCTGTCCCGGCATCGAGGGGCACGTGGGCTCCATGTTGTCTGGGCAGCAGTGCCAGAGGTGGTGGATGTCTTGTGAAGCTCTCCTTAGAGCTGTTCTTTCTGCCCCTCCTGGCATGTTCTCCCCACCCGAGTGTCCAGCATAGTGACTGTGGACGAGGGGAGGGACCTGCCAAGTGCCTCTATGTCTCAGGACTTGGGATGAGTCACTGTCTCAAGTGTGGGGCAGCGTGACTTTTACCCCATTTTAGAGATGAGAACACTGAGGCTACAGGGGGAGGGAACTTGCCCAAGGTCACCCAGCAGGAATGAGGCAGAGTCAGGATTCAAACTCAAGTCTGACTATTAAGTCCAAAATCTGCACCAGGCTTTAGAGATTCACTAAAAATGAGAAGCCCCAGACTGCCACTGGAGGGACCTGGGAGAGTGGGATTCCTGCCCCAGGAGGAGGGCTGGCCCCCTTCCAATATAAGCAAGCACCAGGCAGTCCTCGGCCAAAGCCCAGAGCCCATCAGTCCCTCTCTCAAAACCCCCAGCAGGACACTTGAAGACTCCCTGGGACCAGCTTCCAGTGGTCCCTTTATTCTGGGCCTGCCGGCCATAAGGTTGAATAACCTGGCACAGAAAGCCCTCATCAGAGCTTCTATCCTTCCAATTTTTACCGAGCCTTCAAGGCTAAGCTGAGACCTCACCTCAGGAACCGTTCTCCGGTATCACACTATCCTCCCACACGGACCTCTCACCTCTGAATTCTCCACACTAGCTGGGTCACATCTTCTTTGCCCCCTGTCACTTAGCACAGGACCAGGAACAACAGGTACTCATGCTCGGGAGAAGCATGGCCTCCGTCCAGCCTCCCCTCCACTGCCTAGGAAGGGAAGCCAACCCTGGTTGTAGGCACACCCTCTGGTGGGCGCTGCACTAGTCACGGGTGCTCTAGGGCTGGCTGGCTTTGGATTCCATGCTCTCTTCTTCCCACCGTGCTCAGCCTCCTCTGGTTTCCCGAGGGAGAGGGGAGGGCCGGACACAGACACTCCATGAGGCTAAGGGCAGGAAAATGGTGGTCCCTTGTCATCCACAACGCGGTCCTGTTCTAAGCCTCTGAGCTAGCCTCTCCCCAAGGTAGCTAAAAGTGGTACAACTATCTTGGGAGAGGCAGTGAACATAGAGTGGCCAGGTGTCCAGTTTTTCAGGACGAGCTCAGGAGTGTGACGTCACAGACAGGGAAGGTGAGTCTCTAGGGAAGCATTTGCAGCCTGTAAAACCCTGTTAAAGGCAAACTGTGAAGTACCTGAGGCAGCTTGGTGAGCGGCTATGACTAAGTTAAGGCCACTTACAAAGTCACTCACATTGTTGAGCAGTTTGCCTCTGGTCCCCATCCTTAGGCCTAGAAAAGGGGTCACAAGCCCCCTAGACTCCACAGGTATCCAAGCGCCTTCAGCGGCTAGATGGATGCTCCAGGTGGGCCTGGGCAGGGCCATGAGGTTCAGGCTAGGGTCTGAGCAGCCGGGAAACCTAGCTGCCATCAAACGCCTAACTCTGGCTGAGGGGTAGCGGGATCAGAGGGGGCAGAGCCCCAGGCTGCACTGCCCAGATGTCTGGGCTCTCTGGGAAGGTGGGAGTCCCTACCCACTGTCCTCACTCTGGTGCTAAGGCAGCCTGGGAGGAGGAAAGAGAACAGATGGAGAGTCCAGAGACTGCATTCTAGTTCTGGACTTTCTCAGGCCCCACTCCCTCTCACCCCTGTGTGTCCACAGCCCCTATCATCTGTCTCATCGTTATCTGCGTCCCCCATTAGACTCCTTCCAGCAGATGGCCCTTCAGTCCCTGAGCTCCTTGGGAGCTGGAACCAGGTCAGATGAACTTCTCCACCCCTAGCAACCAACACAGGAAAGGTTTATTGAGCAAAAATGAATTACACCCACCAAACAACCTGCCTTTCTCAGAGTCTAATCCCAGTAGTATGAACAGTGGGCTCCCTGATCTATCCCAGTAGATCATGCGGCTGCAGCAGGAACCAACCCCCCTGGGGCCAGGAGATGCAAACCACTTCTGGCTCCACATGCGGAAGGTTCAGGACCCACCTTTACAATCACCCCACCCCACACATCATGGTCAAGCTGATGATTCAAAACTCTGCTCCCCAAGGCCCGTTAGCGGGCAGCCTATGGCTGCTCACTGCAGGGACGCGGCAGTGGAGCCCAGGAAGAGCATGGACACGC